CATTGCTTGCCAGAGGAAGTCCGTTAATAATTAACACTTTACTCCTTCAATGCCCAGTAGATATTATCTGCCTGCCTAGCCACCTAATCAACCCTTTTACCCAACCTACCTCCCAGAGGTCAAAAAATTCTCAGGGTCAAACTTAACATGGAAGCCTCTCATTTAAGAAAGGCAGAAAATTGACTTCCAAAGAAAAACTGAATTTAAGACTTTCTCAAAAATCGGTATTTACCAAACGCTAAGGCAATGAGAAAATGGCTAGATTCCATGGCTACGTTTTCTGATTTGTTCTTGAACTGAAGTATCTTTCAAAATTTATCTTTGCATTTAACCCTAGATTCTTACTTCTTGCAGTTTTCCTCCTCTGGATGATAATGGGGCAGTGCCCCACCATCTATCTGGAAGGCTAGTTGGCACATTAAATCAGTTTAGAAGACTTCCAGAGTGGAGCCTATTCTTCTCTCCTGCAGTGAGTCTTGCAGATCATAATCTAGGGCTGACTCACTGGTGAAATGCTGGGAGAAACACTGCATTATCAGAAGTGCCATCCTTTGGATGAGATATTAAACTGAGGTTCTGCCTGCCCATTAAGGTGATCCCACGGCACAACTGAAAAAGTAAAGGGTTTATTTATTTCTGGCCAACAAGCCACAAAAAAAATTGGTCATTTACTTCATGGCTTTGTTGGCTCTTACAGAATGCAATTCATATATAAATTCATAGTCGCCCTTTGAGACTTTTGATGTTACAGTATGGCTTAACTTGTCTGGGCCAGTGTTTATGTCCCACACAAGCATCCAGCTCTCCTATTTCACTCCTGCCTCATGAAAACAACATTATCGGTGCTAAAATCAAAGGATTATTATTATTATTATTGTTGTTGGGTGCACCAAGCCTATATATAAAAACAGAAGTTGCTATTTAGTTGTTGTTTATATACTATAGTCAGAAGGTTGTGGGTTCAAGCCCCACATTGGGATTTGGAATCACATAGTCTAAGATGATACTCCAACAGAGTCCTGGGGGGATGGGATTTGAATTATCAGAGGAGCCGACCTTCAGCTGAAACATTAAACCATCTGTCTGTTCAGGTGGAAGTTAAAGATCCCATTGCACAACAACAACTTACATTTGCATAGCACCTTTTAATTTGAAAAGAGAAGGGAGTTTCTTCCGAGGTCCTGGCCGACAATTCCCCAGATAAAATTGGTCACTCACTCCATGGCTGTTTGTGGGCTTTCTGCAACTCGCTGCTGCATTTCACCCACAAAATACAGTCAATCCACTTTGCAATATATTCTGTGAAGCTCTTCTTGAGTCTCAATATAAGGTGCTAGATCAAATGCAAGGATTATTATTCTGTCCACTCTTCTGCAAAGAAGCAAGGCAGTAACTGCTCAACAGCAAACTTACAGAGGGTTTTGTCCCTTTAAGAGTGCAATTTGAACCTCGAGCTCAGCTGATGTTCATAACTATCGGAAACTCACTCTTATGATTATGGCATTGGAATTGCCTTGATGGATTCCAGGTTTGTAAGTTGCTGCCAAATATTTTATTATCCTGCATGTTTAGGAAAACGCTCCACAGGAGGCCTGGATCGAGGCAGAGTCCTGGGAGTTTGTCAATACTGTATTTCAAGAAGCCCCAAGCTTTTACTTGTTGAACAGAAACACTGTGAAACAAACAGAGAATTGGGAGTCCAGCAATCACAAGTTAGAATCACGGAACGTTTACAACACAGAACTACTGATAAGGTTCCCCATTGGAGCTGTTTCCCCCAAACAGGTTCCTCTCCTGCAGCTCACAACTCAAATTCTGTTAAGCACTGTGTCTGTGCTGGTATCCCCCAGTGAGCTCTCTAATCCCATTCCGTCTGTATTGAGAACTCTTTACGCTATTCCCATTCTGCCTGTGTTTGTAACTTGCCCCACCGAGCCCTCTACTCCCATTCGTGGAGTCCTGTAGCTCAGTGATTAGAGCACTCCCCCTACAAGCGAGAGACCCGAGTTCGATTTCCGGGCAGGGCGAAACGTTGGCAAAGTTTCCTTACTCCACACGCCTGTTTACCTAGCAATAAGTAAGAACCCGGTTGTTAGTCGATCGGCGGATAGCTTTTCCAGGTATAATAATTCCTTCAAAAAAAAATTGGTCACTTCAATCCACCACTGTTTGTGGGACACAGCTATGCGCAATTGGCTGGCGCATTTTGCCCATAACATATACAATCAATTCATTTTACAGTATATTCTGTAAAGCACTTTGAGACATCTCAAAGACGTAATAAGGCGCTGTATCAAATGCAAGGATTATTATTATTATTTCCCATTGCATCTGGGCTGGTAACCCACCAATAGAGCTCTCTACTTTAATCGCACTCTCATCACATCTCTGCTGGTTCCTCCATCCCCAATTGGAGCCAACTACTCGAATCCCCTTCCCGTCATTTCTCTGCTGGTAGCTCCCTCCTGGAACTATCTACTCCATTCCTCTTGGTCTTGGAGCTGGAAGCCAGTCTCCCCACACCTCAAAAAAAACAAGTAATCCACACTAAAAAAAATGTTGACAACTCCTGGAATAGGCAGATCTAATCACAGCAGATTCCAGAAACCAAGCGTTTAGCATTGACTACACTTTTATTAGTAGGAGATAAGTTTCCTTAGAAACATTTTAACTGCTATTGTTGGCTATTTAACTTTCTCCCTCTCCCTTTCCAAATCAGCATAGCTGCACAGATCTTTTCCATAGCTGTAAATTCCTAAGTTCTCCAATCCTCCGCAGGCAGGGAACCAGCTTTAAAGGGCTCAACCAACCTTCAAAGCCCTCCTAAAAAAAAATACACATGTCTTTTTCAACCCTGATTTCATCTAGAATTTATAGGGCATTCATTTCAACTAGTTTGTGCCTGTATTTATACTCCACATAAGCTCCTATACCCCTCTATAGAATTTGCCAGACTGGCACAGTAGTAGCACTCTCACCTCTGAGTCAGTTGGTTGTATGTTCAAGCCCCACTTGAGGACGTGGAATCATAGTCTAAGATGACATTCCAATGCAGTGCTGAGGGGAGGGATTGTTGCATTGTCAGAGATGCTGATTGAGATGTTAAAACGAGGCCTCATCTCTAACACTATTCGAAAAGAGAAGGGAGTTTCTCCCGGTGTCCTGGCCAAAACATCCCCCAAATAAAATTGGTCACACACTCCACACTATTTGTGGGACATTGCTGTGTACAAACGGGCTGGTGAGTTTTGCCCACAAAACACAGGCAAAACCACTTTATAATACATCCTGTGAAGTGCTTTGAGACTCTTTGGCGATGTGATGAGGTACTAAATCAAATGCAAGAATTATTTTTGCACAGATTTCGCCTTTTAGTTGTGCAATGACCGATGTTGCAATGTAACTACCCGAAATGGGAATCAAAACTGCAACACTGTGCCCCATCTGGTGCTGTACCCCTCATTCCATTGTCGGTTTCTGCTGAGATAGCATTAAAAATAAGTAGACAAAGTACGTGTTATGGCATTTCTACCGATCTTGCTCCTGCTGAAAACACAAACTGACTTGGAGTGTTCCAAGGCTACCATAGCAATACAAATCAAAGCAGCAAAGTGCATGATTTTTGCCTGTGTGATTGGCAGCTTGACCAAACAATAATGGGGAACCCAAACTGTTCTTTTTTAAAACAGAAACTTACTTTAAGAGAATACTTAGGGGCGAGGGGGGTGGGAGGGAATATCACTGTAGCCGACGCGATTGCTCTAAAATAGCACTAAGTGGTTTAGAAATTAATCTGCATTTGCAGTGCAGTTACTTGGATTCAAATTGACTGCGATTTACACAACGTGTAAATGTGGGAGTGTTTGTGTGTATGTGCGTGTGTGTGTGTGTGTGTGGAGGGGTGGGGGGAGAGAGAGAGAATGATCACAATATACTTAGGGGGATGAGTTTCAGAAAACTTGCATAATATGCACCCGAGCTTGTAAGAAAAAAGCGGAACAGAAAGCATAGCAAGTTTCGCCCTCAAAATACACAGTCAATCCACTTTACAATGTAGTCCGAACTGCTTTGAGATGTGATAAGACCCTACGTCAAATACATGGGTTATTATTGTGATATGATGACAGATTAGTGACTCAACATGGACACTTCCCAATGTTCAGGTGACAACACAAAATGCAACACGTCTCCCCCACCCTCTTACATGGCTCGGAAATAATTGCAAAAAAAGGGAAAAATAAAGAACAATCATCAATAAAAAAATTGCAAAATAAAAATATTTGCATTAATAAAAATAATCGTTGCAAAATAAAGTTTAAAAAATATAAATAAAGAATTGAATAAGATAAAAAAATTGTTGTGAAATAAAAGGGATGACCATTTTAAAAAATAAGAATAAAAATGGAATACGTTTCTGATCAATAAAATCAAAATAGATACAAAATAAAAAGGCTGAAACTAATCATATTATGGATAAAATAAAAACATGAATACAATAAAATGATGATTAATAAAACCAAATGAATAAAACGAAAACATTACGAATGAAACAAAAAGAGTGTCAAGAAACAAAGTGAACCACACAAAAATAGTAGGAATAAAATAATGATAAAATAATAATAAAATCAAATGAATAAAGCCAAAAAACACACTACGCGTAAAACAAAACGATTAGATTCTGAACGAAACCGAACACAGCAAAAATATACCACGAACAGAATAAAAATAAAAGAAATGTTAATAAACACGTGGGACCCCCACCCAAAAAAAAAAAAATTTTCCCAAAAAAAATTTTTCCCCCAAAAAAAAAAATTTTTTTTTGGGGGGGGGAGATAAAAAAAATTGGGGGTGGGGGGGAAAATTTTTTTTGGGGGGGGGGGAAAAATTTTGGGGAAAAAATTTTTTTTGTGGAAAAAATTTTTTGGGGGAAAAAAATTTTTTTGGGGGAAAAATTTTTTGGGAGAAAAAAAAGAAGTTGCAAAAAAAAAAACCACCCAAACCTTTGATGTCCTGAGCCAGTGATTTCCAGACGGGAGCGAATTCGATGCAGTGTCCGCACCAGGACGCGTAAAACTCGAGCGCCCAAGCGGTGCTGGAGTTATAGATGGTTTTGGGGAGAGTGTCCGCGGTCACCGTCTCCACCTGGTCCCCGGGGGAGTACAGTCCGGCCCCAGCAAACCCCACCACCAGCTGCCAAACAGCCCCCACCCACAGCAGCCTCCCAGCACAACGCTGCGCCATGTCTGAATGCGGCATCTGCCATCAGTGTCCTAACCTCTCACCCGTTCCTGGGGAACAACATTTGTCTACGTGCAAACACACACAGGCAGGGAAAAGGGGAAGGGAGGGAGGGAGGGATCTCTCCAGCCATCCCCAGCCATCCCCAGCCATCCAGCCTCCTCCTCCTCCTCCCTCCTTCTCTCTCTCTCTCTCTCTCTCCTGTCCACACACATGACACAAATAATCTTATCAATGCTTTGCATTAATCATTGGATCCTGGATGGATCCTGGATGGATCCTCCCTCCACCCTCCACCCCCCACTGTTTAAACAGATTTACAACCAGGGGTTATCTGCCACACGTCCTCAGGCTCACATTCCCAAGCTGTGCACCACGCGTTGTAGCTCTTTATATATATATATATATATATATATATGTATGTATATTTATGGGTAAATAAAAAAAAAGGCTTGTGTCTGGTAAAGTGCTGTGTCTTACACTTGCACGTCTCCCACACGCCAAACATCAGAGCAGTCACCACTTCCTCGTTTTAATTCAAAACTGCACTCACAGTTCAGGAGACCTGAGTTCTCTTTCTCTCTCCCCCCCCCCCCCCACTTCAACTTTATTAAACTTCTCTCTGAGCAGTCTGACCGAATCCACCTGTCAGCCACAACGATCAGAAACAAAAGAGGTGTTGAGGATAAAAACTGAAGACGTGCTAAGGAGCCACAAGCTATTTCAGATTATTCAGCCATGAACACCCCCCACCCACCAGACTCTGGAGCTCTCCGCCTCAATCCCTCTGCCTTGGCTCCCTCCCCGTCCATCTTAAATAATAATAATCCTTGTATTTGATGTAGCTCTTCTCGACGTCTCAAAGCGCTTCACAGAATATGCTGCAAAGTGAATTGACTGTATATTTGTGGGCGAAATGCGGCAGCCAATTGCGCACAGCAGTGTCCCACAAACAGTCGTGCATTGAAAATGACCAATTTATTGTTTTTTTGTTTTGGAGGGATTATTATTAGGCGTGTGGAGTAAGGAAACTTGCCCAAGGTTTTGCCCTGCCTGGAATTGAACCCAGGTCTCTCACTTGCAAGTCGAGTGCTCTAACCATTGAGCTACAGGACTCCACGCACCTGAAGATCTTCCTCTTCGACCGTGGCTACAGCTATGGCCCCTCTCTCCGCTGTTCGGCATCAACCTCCGCCACTGTTAAGCACTTTGAGTCGCTACCCTCATGTGAAGGGCGATATATAAATGCAAGTTGTTATAGGGAGAGAGAGAAACTCCTTTCTTACATTTCATATTCTTGTTTATAACTTCCTAATATCTCAAAGCCCTTCACAGAAAATTGTTATCAAATGTAGTGACTGTGTACCTGTAAGCACGTGCAGCAGCTAATTTGCATACTGCAGGGTCCCACGAACAGCTATGAAATGAATGACCAATTTTATTTGGAGAATTGTTGGCCGGGATACTGGGAGAGAGAAAGTCCTTTCTCTTTTCAAATAGTGTCATGGGATCTTCAAAGCCCTCCATGGCCTTGCTCCCACCTATCTCTGCAACCTCTTAACCTCCTACCATCCTGCTCGCTCTCTCCGCTCAGTGGGCTCTGGCCTGTTTCATATCCCCATGCCTTGCTTGCCCCACTATCGGTGGGCAGGCCTTCTGCCCATCTGCCCCAAACCCTCTGGAACTCCATCCCGCTATCCCTCTGCCTCACCCCTCCCTTGCCACCTTCAAGACCCATCTCAAGACCATCCTCTTCGACCGTGCTTTCGATCTTCCTGCTCCCCCATCCCCCCCGCCCTCCACCCTCCCTCACCCCGACCCCCAGCTCGGGTCCGAAACTCTGTCCAGCGCCTTGGGACGTCCTCCTGACATGAAAGGCACTTTACAAATGTAATTTTGTTGTTGTTGTTGTTTAACATCCACTTGAACAGGCAGATAGGATCTCGGCTTAATGTCTCACTTGAAGTACAGCATCTCTGATAGCGTAGTGCTCCTCCAGCATTGCACAATATGGTATTTTCAAAGTCTTTACAGTCCCAAAACAAGAGGGTTCAGGTTCAGGATTGAGCAGAGCATTTTCAGGACACGGACAAGGAAGTATTTCTTTACACAGCGTGTGATTAGTGCTGGAACAGGTTCCGGAAAGGGTAGTTGAGATCAGGAATGCTGGACTCATTTAGGGAACAGCTTGAGACTGTAATTGGGGTATGTCAAGGTGCGTTATCTGGATAAATGATGAAAAGGGCCAAAGAGCCTTCTTTATCTGAACCACTCGTTATCTTATAATAATAAAATACAAGTTAAATAATAATAATTGTTGCTGTTTATCATATTGCCGAGACAGCTTACAGCACTTTACAGGTTTCACTCTGAAGTGTGTGGGAGCATCAGCCTCAATGAGGTGAAAGCTCTGACGTAGGCCACAGTGTTCCTGTGTGCCAACTGGCTGCCACGTTTCGCTCACAAAATACACAATCAATCCACTTTACAGTATATTCTCTGAAGCACTTTGAGGCATCTCAATGATGTGATAAGGCACTATATGAAATGCAGGAGTTATTATTATTAGTATTACATACAGACACTGAGGAAAGGGTTAAATGAAATGATCTTTATGGTGTTTTTCACACTTACTCTCGAGACTCTTGCGATAGCACCTTGGAAGTGTTAACCAGCTGATGAGAAGAGAAACGTTCACAATGGCTGCTCCACTTGCCGCCTGAATACGATGTGAGTTGAAAACGTCCAGCTTAGTAAAACCTCCAACAGTGTTAACATGGCTAAAGGGCCACTTTGTCAAAAGCTGACCTTGTAAAAATGTTGCCTGTGAATCTCAGTCATTATCATCAAGGCCAACTTCTAGTTTTTTTTTCTATGTGAAAATGCAATATGTTGTTCGCTTGTTGAATGAAGACATTTGTGAGACTCTTGTTTTCCCCTGAATTCTCATTCGGATGATGGCACCTCCAACAGTGCAGCACTCCCCCAGCACTGCACTGGTTTGACAACTTAGACTGTGTGGCTGTGGTAATTCACAGTAAAATGGGAAATCACATTAAGTCAGTGTAAAGCTTTAGTGTGACTAAATGACCCTAAGAAACAACGTGCATTTATATAGCGCCCTTCACGCAGGTCTTAAAATGAAGGCCTTTATTCAACATTCAAGATGCTATCCCATTGTGAAGGGTGCTATATAAATGCAAAGTTTGTAAACTTAAACTTAGACTGACGTGAACCTTACAACTTGTGCCAAATGATTGGAATGGGTTAACAGTGAGCGTGGTTGAGGCCAGGACAAGGGATTTGTTTACGACATAGCTTAATGCTATAATGAATGGATGGTGCCGTGATCTCGTCATTTAGAAACAATGGAGCTTGCACAATATTGATCTTTGTATTTTATACGCCTCCTTATCACGTTGTTGAGGTTTTACTGTGCAGTGTAGTATCTGTGTTTTGTAGGCGAACGCGATGGACAATTTGCACACAGCAATGTCCCACAAATGATCAATTTTATCCGGGGTGGGGGGGTCTTGGCCAGGACACCAGGAGGAACTCTCTTTTTTTCGCATAGTGCCATGGAATCTTTTAGGTCCATCTGAATAGGTAGATGGGACCTCAGTTTATCATCTGAGGACAGCACCTCAAACAATGGAGGGCACCCCAGCATTGCCTTGGAATAATAGTCTGGTGGTGGATCAATCTTTTTGGTCAACCAACAAAATACATTTTCTTGATAGGATATTTCTTAATTTCTCGAAGACGTGATAAGACTCTATATCAAATGCAAGGATTATTATTATGAATCAAGAAAAACTTGGAAACACACTACTGATCGAACATGGACTTAATGGTAATAATAATAATCCTTGCATTTGGTACAATTTTCATGTCTTTGAGACGTCTCAAAGCGCTTCACACATATTATCTAAAGTGGTTTGACTGTATATTTTGTGGGCAAAACGCGACAGCCAATTGCTTACAGCAGTGTTCAACAAACAGTCGTGGATTGAGTGAGCACATTTTTTAAAAAGGAATTATTAACCCCGGAAAAGCGATCTGCCAATCGACTAACAACTGTCTTCCTACTTATTGCTGGGTAAACAAAGGAGTGTAGGGTAAGAAAACTTGCCCAACCTTTTGCCCTGCTGGGAATCTAACCCAGGTCCTCTCGCTTGTGAGACGAGTGCTCTACCTGCTCCACTACAGGACTTACCTAGACTAGTACAAATATTCGGGGCAGGGTGGTGGGGGTGGGGGGGGGGGGGGCGGAACCGGCTTGTGGCTGTAGTTTGGCTGGCACTGGCCTGTAAGTTCAAAGTCCTGATGTGTGATTGCGGGTTGAACCCAAAACCATCTGACTCAGAAGAGAGAGTGCTGCCAACTGAACCAGACTAACACCTATTATACACCGGTCACAATTCTTACCAAAGTGAAATCAAGTGAAAGTTTATTACTTTTTTTAAAATGATGGAATTGAAAAGCATCATAGTTGGATCTGTTCAGTTCATTATTTTTCAGAATCACTGAACCCATCAGCTGCCAGGCTGAATTAAAGGATTTGACACTTATGATCCCTTTCAAGTGAAGTGGTGTTTGAGGAAAACTCGCTGTCATGTACTTTTTTCTTCAGGTTTTCTGTTGCTCCCTTCTTCCTTCCCTGCTTAATAATAACAATAATAATAATCCTCTTATTTGATATAGTGCCCTACCACATCATTGAGACGTCTCAAAGCACTTCACAGGATATACAGTAAAATAGATTGACTGTGTATTTTGTATTCTACACACGGCAGCTAGATTTGTGCATAGCAATGTCCCCATGGAGTGAGTGACCAATTTATTTGGGGGAATTGTATCATTAGATTTGATGCATGGTCTTTCATGTGGGAAGGTCACCTCAAAGGATATTATTGTAAAGTGTAGTGAGTGCGTATTTTCTAGGCAAACACCTTGAATTAAAGAACTAATTTATCTAGAAGTTGCTTGGACAGGAGGAGGTATTCCCTTTTCCTTTCTGAATAGTTGTCCCGCGATAATCCTGCGATTTAATTTCTCATTGCTTCTCCCAGTACCACAATAACAATAATAATCCTTGTGTTTGACATAGTGCCTTATCACTTTGTTGAGAAGTCTCATAGCGCTTCACAGGATATACTTAAT